AAAAACAAACAAACAAACAAACTTAACTCATCTTTCTTCTCCCTTCTTGGGCGATAGGTTTCTTCGGATTTTCTTAGGAATGTTCTGTCGCGCTGAGACTTATGTAGCCATTTCTACCTTAAAATTTTCTTATTTTCTTTAGGTTTTTAATCAAAACTTTTATCCTCCTTGGGTTTATAATGGAAGTTTTACTACGGTTGATTAATTTATATAATGTGTGGTGTTTATTAATAATCTATAACATTAAATCTTATGATATTTTTCAAATAGTTCTGAAAAATGTGACCCAATATGAAACCAATCATTTCAAATGGTCTCCTTGGTCAGGTGTTAGGGTTTATATTTTTAAGAATTGCATAAGGGTTTATGTTCTCATATTTTTTATTAGTTTTTTATATTATGTAAAAATTTCATAATAATAAATTCAAGTAGAACTGGATATAGACACATGTATTATTTATTTTCTCATAGTAAAATCTTTTTGTGTGAGTTATTCAAAAAATTTATATTACGAATGTAATTCATATTTACGTATAAAATGCAGTTACATATCAGTGCCTACACAAGTAATACAAGAAAAACCACCATACAAACTGTGCAAAGTTAATTTTCTGGCATCTACCATTATGAAAACAAGACCATCAAAGACTTCAGTAATATATATTAATTCATTTAATATCATATTATTATTTTAAATTTACAATTTTATATGTAGAGACCCATTCTTTGATTGAAAAAATTAAAAGAATTTCATTGGAGTTGTATTCAAGAACAGTTACAGAGTATATTTTTCCAGCTTCTTCTTGTGGGTGGATGTCATTGCTCAGAGTCGATTGTTTTACCGCTATTTGCCAACAGTCAACAATTAACTCAATACTTTAATATCCCTGGATAAAATACATATAGGCGACCAACATCTTTCCGTTCAACTCTGCCAAAATTCGTGATATCAGAAGCCTAACATTAGTCTTTTGCCTACAGTCAACAATTAAGTTCTAAGTAGAATCCAGCTTTCCATTCCTCATTAAGAATTTAATTTTAATTGCAAAATTTGGCTCAAGCCCACAGCCTTCTCTCTTTTCCCTTGTTACAGTAATCAGAGCTATAAATGAGTTAAGCTATACAACCCGAACTCAAAATCAAGATTTAAAAAATCGAGTGATGTTTAAGTTGTAATTTAAATTAAATTTAACCATATGAAAAGTAATTATATACATTATTTATTTAAAATTTTAATTCTGATCTAATGTAAATCTTCTTGTATATATATAATATCTTATTTTAGTAAATTGAGTTTAAATTAAACTTGAGTTTATTGAGCATTATCCAACTTGAGATCTAAGGAATTTGACATGACTCATTTACAACTTTAGTTATAATGATCATATTAGTTAGAGTTGGGCATTGATTTTTAAAAAAAAATTAATTAACCAAACCCAAATCAAATTATAATTTGAGAATTATTTTGGTTTGATTTTAACCGCTTTTTTTAATTTTATAAAAATTTCAAACAAAACAAAAATTTTTGTATTAAAAAATTTGGTTCAGTTAAAGTTTTTGGGTTAAACCAAAATTGTTTACTAATTTGGTCAAATTGAAAGCTCTTTTGGTTTGTACAGTTTTAAAAATATCGCAGTAACTGAACCAATATTTGGGTTTATAAAATTTTGTTTAAAACTACATTAACCATTGCCAACCGCTTAAGTTAAGTGGTTATTTTTTTCTGTTGAAATATGAGGTCCTGAGTTCAAATCGCATGATATGTGAATAGAATGAGATAAGAAATGAAAAGTAATTGCCTCCTATTGTGCAATCAAGATAAAAAAAAAAAAAAAAAAACTACATTAACCGTTTAATTGTTTATTGGACCAAAATATTATTTCAATTTGGTTACT